TTTAAGTAAGCTTCAGTAAATAAACTCTCCATGAAATTATTTTAGTCATTAATAAATTATTTTAACTGAATGAAAGTCTTCATGTTCTGATCTTTCATTGAAATTGTGAATAATTAAAACTTTTTGAGTTATTGTAAAATTGTGATTATATAAAAATTTAAGCAACCTTGCAATTTTCTTTGCCGATTATGATAACCCTTACAATAAGAACTTGGGATGTTGTGTTACTCCATTTACTAAGCAGCAAATTCCAAGAACAGAGCTTCTAAGATTGAACTGAGTTACGCTTTGAAAATTCTTGTTTTGTACGAAGGATGCGTCAACAAAATGACCTGGGATACTAATAATTCACTTTACATGTTTCAGCTTGAACGTACCTGCCGAGGAAACCAATTCATCTCGAATGAATTCCACCAGGTGCTTGAAGATATGAAGGATGCTACAAAACCTTCTCTCTCTCAAGAGGTAAGACTATAAAGTAACTGTTATAATTCATTCATTAATGTGTATCAGTGTGATATTATGATTTGTAGGTAATTTTTTTAGTTCTTTTATCTTTCTTCCAATTAACACCAGCATGAGATGAAATTTTAATTTATTTTCCTTTAATGTTTTCTTTACCTCTTTCCAATATATCCTACTACATTTTATCTTTCTCTATTCTGCCCATTTTTAACAGGTTTTTGATTCTCTTCTGTCTTGAAATATTTCCATATTTTACACCTTGTTTCTAAATACAGTGTATCTCTCTTCCTACTTCTTTCTCTTCACCATCACCTAATTATAATTCAATCATTAGGAGATGTCGATTACAGGATTTGGTTGAAGTGGGTTAGAAATATTAAAACATTAGTTTGCCAACGTTTCAGAATATTTTTATTCTATCTCTAGGGCTGGTGTGAAAACATTAAGACAACAGCCCAATAAATACACCTTTACAGAAATTAACATGATTTTAAATAAATATAACTTTACACAATTAACACCTTGTTTTGTTACATTTACACTTAATTAACACTCATGATAATTTTTGTAAAGGTATGTTCGTCGTGCTGTTGTCTTTATGTTTTTACACCAGCCCCAAGGTTGAAATTAAAATATTTCAAATGTTGGCAAACTAATGTTTTAATATTTCTCACTCTGATCAAATTCCATGATCAGTATTTCTTAATACTATATCATAGTCTTGATTTCTGCAAAAGATAGTTTATTCATTCATTTATGTTGATTGCATTTATACTTTTGTTGCATTTATGCTGTCGTTGACATCTCCCACAAATTTGGACAGTGACAGTTTATTGTCATCTGTTGTATAATGATATCCACAGAATGTTAACTACCTACTTTTTTCTTGTATGTTTTTCTAAAATGACAATATTTCTCCGTATTTACTGTTGTATAAGAATTTGTTATTTGTTTCGAATCAACATATTTTCCAGCCACAATTAGACAAGTGGAAGGAACACAAACCTTACAAATTCAAGTCAAAAAGAGTTATTCATTTTCTTTTATATTTAATAAAAATATTTTTCCTTAAACAATGCTATGAATTCAACATTTTGTAAGACGTTTTTTTTATTATTCACCATTATACTTCATTGCATAATACAAAAATACATAGAAAATATACAGCTCTATGTAATGTAAAGTAAAATAATGAGACTATTTGATAATTGAAAAAAAAAAGTTTTAACATGCTTTTTTGCATTAATTCAAACTCTTTCACTCTTTGGAATGAATTGGCAGATATATATTGTTTCTAAATTTTTTGGATCAATTCTGAACC